TAATTTCTATTCTTTTACAATTGTGGTTAAAAAACACATTAAGTATATTTACATTGTTGTGCAACAGATCTCTAGGACCTTTTCATCTTGCAAAACTGAAACTCTGTGTCCATTAAATAACAACTTTCCGTCCTCTGCCCTCCACCCCCAAACACAATTCTACTTTCTGATTCAATGAATTTGTCTACTTTAGATACCTCAAATAAGTAGAATCATGCAGCATTTGTCTTTTTTTTTTAAGTTTATTTTTTTAGTAATCTCTACACTGAATGTGGGGCTCAAACTCACAATCCCAGGATTAAGAGTATAGCACTTGTCTTTTTGTGACTGGCTATTTCTGATTTAGCATATTGTCCCTGAGGTTCATCCATAATTTCTATTCTTTTTAACTAAAATATCATTAAGTTCTAAAGCTTTTGTAGTCTGAAATTTGTATTAGATTTCTACTTACTGTGTAATAGATTACTATAAATTTAGTGGCTTAAAACAGTCACATTTATTTCAGTTACTGTGGATGAGTGGCTCATGTGGCTGCACTTGTGTGTTGGGCTGCAATTGTCTTCCAGAGCTCACAGTGCTCTTGTAGGCCCTTGGGGTTGTGGCAGAATTCAGTTCTTCTGGTTGTAGTACTGATGTCCTGCTTTCCTTGTTTCCTGGCTGTCAGCTGGGGGCTCTCAGCTCCTTGAGGTGGCCTCCTCCATCTTCAAAGTCAGAGTGGAAAAGCTCCCACACCGTGAATTCCTCTCACACTTTGAATCTCTGACTTCTCTTCTTGTGGCTTCTAGACCTAGATTTAAAGGGCTTATTTGAGGGATCCCTCACTGCCTCAGTCAGAAGAGCATGAGACTTTTGTTTTCAGAGTCATGAGTTTGAGCCCTGTGTTGGGTACAGAGATTACTTAAAAATAAAATTGTTAAAAAAAAAAAAGCTTAAAAAATAAAGAGGCATATGATTAGGTTAGGCCCACCAGGATAGTCTCCCTATCTTAAGGTCAAGTGATTTGGGGCCTTAATTACATCTGCTGCAAAAATCCCTTTATAGCAATGCCAAGAGGAACTTGATGAACTGGGAGATGTGCGTAAACCAATGCCCAGGAATCTTGAGGGGGACGAGGCATCTGTCACCACATCTCAGTTTTATTCTGTTCTCAGAACAAAACCATTTTAATTTAATTTAATTTACTTATTTGTCAGAGAGAGCACAAGCAGGGTTAGCGGCAGGCAGCGGGAGAAGCAGGCTTGTCACTGAGTAAGGAGCCCGATGCAGGACTCCATCCCAGGACTTCTGGGATCATGACCTGAGTCTAAGGCAGACGCTTAACCGACTGAGCCACCGAGGCGCCCCTGAACAAAACCATTCTTAACCATCTTTCAGTTAATGTTGGGAGTTATGATTTCTGAATATGTACAACAGTCTGCGACCATACCACTATGAACGCGCCCAATCTTGTCTGAATATGTACATTAATGTTAGCAAATTCTGCTTTTTTTTTTTTTAAAAAATTGAGATATAATTTACATACAGTGAAATGCCAAGATCTTAAATATCTTGTTCATTCTGTTTTGATGAATGCGTGTCAAGATATGGCCCAGAAAATTCCCTCATGCCCCTTGCCAATCATCCGTCACCCCCCCCCACTCCTCGGCAACAATGATCTGGTTTTTATAACCACAGGTTAGTTCTGCCTATTGTAGAATTTCATATAAATTGAGATGATACAGTATGTATTTTTTTACATTCAGCTTCTTTCACTCAGCATAACATTTTTGAAATTCATGCGTGTTGCTGCCTGTGTCCGTGGTTCCTTTCTATTCCTGAGTAATGTTGTGTTGTATGGATTTACACAGTTAAGCCATTTTCCTCCTGAAGCACATCTCGGAGGGGGCGGGGGGGGGCGGGGGGGCACTCATTCTTGTAGGAGACCATGTGGACACTCATTTTCATTTCTTCTGGATAAATACCTACGAGTGGGATTGCTCATAGGGTAGATGTGCCATTAACTTTATTTATTCATTCATTCATTCATTCATTCATTCATTCATTCAGAGAGGTAGCACGTGAGCAGAGGGAGAGAGAATCTCAAGCAGGCTCCACACTCAGTTGAGCAGAGCCCGGATGTATCATTAACTTTTAAAGAAACAAACCCAGAGTGCTTGTACATTTTACACTTGGACCAGCAATGTGTGAGTGGTCCCGTTGCTTTATATCCCCTCTGGCATTTGGTATTGTTTGTTTTCATCTTCACATTCTAGTGGATGTGTAGTGGCATCTTGTCGAATGGGTTTCATGAGCATTTCTCTGATGACTGATAATGAGCACTTATTCACATGCTTATTGGCCTTTTGTATATACCCGCTTTTGTGAAGTGTCTCTTACATCTTTTACCCATTTAGAAAGTCAGATTGTCTTTTTATTATTGAGTATAGGAATTCCTTATGTATTTGAGTACAAGTCTTTTTGCTAAGTACACATGTTGCAAATATTTTTTCCCAATCTAGGGCTTGACTATATGTTTTTTGGCTGTGCCTTTTAATAATCAATAATTTTAAATTTCGATGAATTCCACTTTATCCATTTTTTTTTTTTTTAGATTTTTTTTTTTATTCATTTGACAGAGACACAGCGAGAGAGGGAATATAAGCAGGGGGAGTGGGAGAGGGAGAAGCAGGCTTCCAACGGAGCAGGAAGCCCGATGTGAGGCTTGATCCCAGGACCCTGGGATCATGACCTGAGCCAAAGGCAGATGCTCAAAGACTGAGCCACCCAGGCGCCCCTCTCCATTTTTTTTTTTTTAATTGTTCCTGCTTTCTATTTTGTCTTTTTTGAAATCAAATCATTAAAAGATGTATACTCTTTTGGGAAAACTCATGATTCAAAAAGATATAAAGGTGTGAGTTGTCTCTTTTCCCATTTCCTTTCTCCCGAGAGAATTTTTTTTAAAAATATGTGTATATTTTAAAAGATTTTATTTATTTATTTGAGAGAATGCACCAGAGAGTGAGCCCAAGTTGGGGGGCAGGGGCAGAAGGAGAAGGAGAAGCAGATTCCCCACTGAGCAGGGAGCCCTTGAAGATATCTGGACCCTGGGATAATGACCTGAGCCGAAGGCAAACACTTCACTGATTGAGCCACCCAGGTGCCCCCCCACCAATATGTATATTTTTATATGTATATATATTTTTTCAAGATTTTATTTTTTTAATATTTTATTTTTAAGTAATCTCTACACCCAGTGTGGGGCTTGAACTCACAACCCCAAGATCAAGAGTCTCGTGCTCAGGGCACCTGGGTGGCTCAGTCAGTTAAGGGTCTGACTCTTGATTTTGGCCTAGGTCATGACCTCAGGGTGGTGAGGTCAAGCCCTGTGTTAGGCTCTGCCCTCAGTGGGGAGTCTGCTTGAGATTCTACACCCCCCACCACGTGTGTGCGCGCGTGAGTGCTCTCTCTGAAGATACAAAAATAAATCTTAAAAAAAAAAAAGTCTTGGGGTGCTTGGGTGGCTCAGTCGTTAAGCATCTGCCTTTGGCTCAGGTCATGATCACAGGGTCCTAGGATCGAGCCCTGCATGGGGCTCCCTGCTCCGTGGGAGGCCTGCTTCTCCCTTTCCCACTCCCCCTGCTTGTGTTCCCTCTCTTGTTGTGTCTCTCTGTCAAATAAATAAAATCTTAAAAAAAAAAAAAAAAAAAGTCTCATGCTCCCAACTGAGCCAGCCAGATGCCCCTTAAAAATATGTTAGTTGCCTTTCTTTAGTTAGGAAAGAAAACTATTCCATATATGTATCTTTGATTAGCACTTAAATACATAAATTTAGTGTTGTGATACTATGTTAATTTGTTTCTCATTTTGAAATAAAAAGTGTTTTTAAACTACATAATGAATACTCTCTATATTTTTTTGCCCAGACTCCGGTAACACCCTGTTCTGTAATCTCTTAGTCACACAGTCCGATGAAGCTGTTTTTCCTTTTTGTTTGCTCAACCAAAGACTTGTAATAGAGACATCTGCATCATTTGGGCTTACTCATTCTTGATTTAGGAAGAGGCATGTTCTCCTGTATTTTCATGTAGTACCACCCTTCCCTGTAGTTTGTCATGCTTAAAATTTGCATCTGAAGAGATGGGTCTGTCGGCCTTTGGTCCTGTGGCAGATTGACCTGGTACACTGTCTGGCTGTGGCCGGGAGCCCTGCCTCGGTGGGGGGTGGGATGGGGGCAGGCACCTGACCAGCTGGTGGGGGACATGGCCTTGTAAAACTCTTTCCTTAGGTGCAGCATGGTCATTGACAAGCAAAGTGAAGTCTTCCTGGGATGTGTGCACATGTCATGTAGTAGTGTGGTTAGGTTATCATGGAGTTAGATCTGTGTACACAGAGGTGGCCGATTTCAGAACAGAACCGCACTCAACCACCTGAGCATGGCTATGGGGAAGGGACCCAGGGAGTCCTGACTGCCTTCATTTCTTGAATTCTGCAAGGGTGTCCATGACAGATTCATCCAAGAGGCAAAGGCATGCTTTGTTTTATCCATTGGGTTATAGTTTTAGGATGCAAACAGATTCAGAATAGATGCTATAATTATGGAGTAAAAACATTCGCCTTTTTTTCATGTGTGTGTGCAGAAGTATAAATTTATTGCTCCACAACTAAACTTAGGTTAACGGGCACCGGGGTGGCTCAGTGGTTAAGCGTCTGCCTTCAGCTCAGGTCATGATCCTGGGGTCCTGGGATTGAGCCCCACATTGGGCTCCATGCTCCGCGGGAAGCCTGCTTCTCCCTCTCCCACTCCCCCAGCTTGTGTTCCCTCTCTTGCTGTCTTTCTCTCTGTCAAATAAATAAATAAATAAAATCTTCAAAAAAAAAAAAAAAAAAACTTAGGTTAAGTCACATCAGGGTTTTTCTCAGTCATACTCAAACAACTTAAGATTTTCTAATCTTCCTTTTCATGTTTCTTTGGGCTTGTTATAAGTTCCAGGAACATACATAAGGAAGGCATCTGGCATTGTGTGCTGGCGTCTGCTGAGAGGTATGCCTTTTTTTTTTTTTAATTCTTTATTTAAATTCAATTTAGTTAACATAAACTGTGTTATTAGTTTCAGGGGTAGAATTTAGTGATCCATCAGTTGCATACACTTTATAGATTTTTGTGATTTTTAGGCCTACACGATTCATTCATTCAGTTTATTCTTGTGATTTAAGTTTAGAAAAGGAGATAAAGGGATTAGATTAGGTTAGATTAGGTTTGAGGAAGGTAAGATTGGAGGAGATACAAGGGTACAAGTAGAAAATGATAAGTCAGTAGATAGAATTTCCATTCTGGAACTGCTTTGTGGCAAGCTCTGGAATTGTATCTCTCTGCTGCCTCTGGCAGTTCGTGTTCCACAGATGAAGTTTCTGAACAGGACGTACCTGATGGAGCACATCCTCCCTTGAGTAGAATTTAGTGATTCTTATTTGGGAAAGAGTAGGCAGTGTATAGCTGGATAAAATATGTTTGTTATTATAATACAGTGTTATATTTAGAAAATAACTCACTATTGTAAGCCTACAAAGGGGTATAACATTTCTGTTTTTATCCAAAAATGTCATGTTTTGAAAATGATTGAGACCCTCCACGAGACCTTTTTGGATTTGGCTTAAAATATGAACCTAACTTTGTTATATAAGCTGGGGAAGTGACACTCCTCCGCCACACTGTTTAGCCTCTCCTGCTTTCACCCAAACAAAAACTAAACATCAGAAAATGAAAGAATCATTGTTTTGTTTCACTTTTTTTTTTTAAGTAATCTCTACACCCAACATGGGGCTTGAACTCACGACCCTGAGATCAGGAGTCACATGCTTTTCCACCTGAGCCAGCCAGGTGCCCCAGTTTTACCTCTTTTTAAGCAAGTAATATTCCTCCTTTGACTCTGCACTGTGTAATTTTTGTTGTGGGGGCACCTGGGTGGCTCAGTAGGTTAAGTGTCTGTCTCCTGATTTTGGCTCAGGTCATGATCTCAGGGTAATGAGATTGAGCCCTGCATCAGGCTCCTTGCTGGGTGTGGAGCCTCTGCCCCCCCCCCCCAAGTAAAAAAAATATATATATAATTTTTGTTCTGAAACTTCAGAACCAAAAACATATGTACATTTTTACTTCTAATATTACCATTGGTCACTTTGCTTTTTAGTCATAGTAGGTAAGGTATTTTGTATTTGGAAATTTCTAAATAAATTGAAGAGGGCTTGAGATTTTTGTTGTTTATCAAAAGGGGAGCATAGGATAAAAAGATTGAGAAATGAAGTTTTCTGTGATTTCATGACAAAGCTAAAATAGGTTAGGTCCCAAAGTTGGGTTTTGTGTTTTGTTTTCTTTGGTCTGCATCATTAATTAAAAAAAAAATTCTGGATCTATTATACTGAAATATCCATATATGAAAAAATTCACCAGGTTACTCAAACTTCTGATTCTAGAATATTTTTATAACCCCCAAAAGAAACCCTGAACCCATTAGCAGTCACTCACCACCCTTTTCTCCCTCTAGCCCTTGGCAACCGCCAATCTGCTTCTTGTCTCTAAGGACATTTCATATAAATGGAATTATGCACTAGGTGGCCTTTTTATAAAGATTTTATTTATTTGAGAGAACAAGCAGGGGAGAGAGGCAGAGGGAGAGGGAGAAGCGGGCTCTCAGCTGAGCAGGGAGCCCCACGTGGGGCTCAATCCCAGGACTCTGGGATCATGACCTGAGCCGAAGGCAGATGCTTAATGACTGAGCCACGCAGTCGCCCCTAAATATATATATTTTCAAACTTTCTTTACCACATTAGCTTTTTACTGCCTGCTGGCAGAATTTCACATGCTAAAATTGGGGGAGGTAAAGTGACCAAAATGATGCTCTTTCCTTCTTTGGCCTTTGCTTTCTTTTCGTTAATTCTTTTTTTTAAGGATTTTATTTATTAGAAAGCAAGAGAGCACGTGCATGCACACACTTGAGCCAGGGAGGGGGAGAGGAAGAGGGAGAGGGACAAGCAGACTCTGCCTGAGTGCGGCCCAGTTGGGGGGCTCAGTCTCATGACCCTGGAATCACAACCTGAGCTGAAATCAAGAGTTAGGTGTTCAACTAACTGAACCACCCAGATGCCCCTCCTTTTAATTTTTGAGAGGAGGGAAGGTTTGATAAAATTTGTCAGACTATTGGGGCGCCTGGGTGGCTCAGATGGTTAAGCATCTGCCTTCGGCTCAGGTCATGATCCCAGGGTCCTGGGATCGAGTCCCGCATCGGGCTCCCTGCTAGGCGGGGAGCCTGCTTCTCTCCCTCTGCCTCTGCCTCTGCCTCTCTCTCTGACTTTCATGAATAAATAAATAAATAAGATTTAAAAAAAAAAAATTTGTTAGACTATGAAAATTGTATTGCCTGTTGATAGAATGATTGTGTATGTATGATCTCATTGTAGTCAGTATAAGTTTCATTGTGGTGAATATAAAGGGAATATAAATATATATGAAAAGATGAGGTGGTAAAGATGTGAAATGAGAGCATTACATGAAATTGATAATCTGATATGACAAAAACGTATGTATGATCTAGTATAATCTTTTAAAAAGTGCCTTTAGAGGGCGCCTGGGTGGCTCAGTTGGTTAAGCGACTGCCTTCGGCTCAGGTCATGATCCTGGAGTCCCAGGATCGAGTCCCGCATCGGGCTCGGCGGGGAGCCTGCTTCTCCCTCTGACCCTCCCCCCTCTCATGTGTTCTCTCTGTCTCAAATAAATAAATAAAATCTTTAAAAAAAAAAAAAAGTGCCTTTAGAAAATCTAACCAGTTCTTTAATTTTTTTTTTTTTAATTTTAAAAAAGTTTTTTTTAAGATTTTATTTATTTATTTGAGAGAGAGAATGAGATAGATAGAGCATGAGACGGGGAGGGTCAGAGAGAGAAGCAGACTCCCCGCCGAGCAGGGAGCCCGATGCGGGACTCGATCCTGGGGCTCCAGGATCATGACCTGAGCCGAAGGCAGTCGCTTAACCAACTGAGCCACCCAGGCGCCCCTTAAAAAAGATTTTATTTGAGAGAGAACACGTGATCAGGGGAGGGGCAGAGGGAGAAGCAGACTCTCTGCTGAGCAGGGAATCCGATGCGGGGCTCAATCCTGGGATTGAGGACCCAGGACCCTGGGATCATGACCTGAGCTGAAGGCAGACGATTAACCTACTGAGCCACCCAGGCATCCCAATTTTTCTGTTTTACAAAATATTCAGTGTATTCAGCATTTCTATTTTTTTTTTAAAGATCTTATTTATTTGACAGAGAGAGGCACAGAGAGAGGGGGAACAGCAGGGGGAGTGGGAGAAGGAGAAGGGGGCTCCCCACTGAGCAGGGAGCCCGATGGGGGAATTGATCCCAGGACCCTGGGATCATGATCCGAGCTGAAGGCAGACGCCTAACCAACTGAGCCACCCAGGCGTCCCTGTAGGTAGATTTTTAAAAAACAAACTTTTTAGGATAGCTTTAAGTTTCAAGAGGGGTTGCAAATACAGTACAAAGTCTCTGCATACCTGCATTCCAATTTCTCCTAATGTTAATATCCTACATTATTATGGCACATTTGTGACAATTAAGGAACCAGTGTTGGTACATAATTTTAACCAAAGTCCCCATTTTATTTGGACTTTACTAGTTTTCCCCTAATATCCTTGTGCTGTTCCAGAACCTCATCCAGGACACCGTATCATGTCACATTTAGCCATCATTTTTCCTGGGCTGTGACAGTTTCTTAGACTTCCCTTGTTTTTGATGGACTGAGCCACCCAGGTGCTCCAGTAACATAATATTTTTAATGATTAGTAACCTTTAGGTATAATTTAATATATAAAACAAATATCCAGGGGTGCCTGGGTGGCTCAGTCAGTTAGGTGTCTGCCTTCGGCTCAGGTCATGATCCCAGGTCCTGGGATGGAGTCCTGCATTGGGCTGTCTGTTCAGCAGGGAGTCTGCTTTTCCCTCTGCCTCTCTCCCCCACTGGTGCTCGCTCGCTCGCTCTCTCAAATAAATAAAATCTTTAAAAAAAATCCCAAATCTCTACAGTCCATTGTTGACAAATGAGTAAATAAATGAGGGACGAGGCAGAGAAAAGACACTGTCCCATCCGTAAGAACTCCAGACACCTTACCTTCCCTCTTCAGTAGATCAGCTCTCCTGGCTCTCCGAGTGTGAGCTGCACCTTGTGACTTGCTTCCTAAAGACTGGAGTATGGGAAGGAGTGGGTGTGTGTAGTGGGGGGAAGCCTGCACAAACTGCCTCAGCTAGGTGGTCAGGACTGGCTTCATTAGTTGTGAAGTCAGGGGAGCGCATGTGCTCTTGCTATGATGTGATGAGAATGGTACACATACAGTTTCCACAAATAGTTTTGTAAGTGTGGGGTTTTGCCACTCCCTTGCTCCCCCTTTCCCTCTCCCTAGAAGTAACTGTTTTTACTTCTAGTAAAGTACAAAAATTATACTTTTTCCATAATTACCACTGTTTCTGTTGTTTCTAAATAAAGGCTTATTATATTACCTGGTTATTATTTTTTTTAAGATTTTATTTTTATTTTTTTAAACATACAGATATATTTTTAAAGATTTTATTTATTTATTCATGAGAGACAGAGAGAGAGAGGCAGAGGGAGAAGCGGGCTCCCAAGGAGCAGGGAGCCCGATGCGGGACTCGATCCCAGGACGCTGGGATCATGACCTGAGCCGAAGGCAGACGCTTAACCATCTGAGCCACCCAGGTGCCCAAGATTTTATTTTTTTAATTAGTCCCTACACCCAGCGAGGGACTCAGACTTACTGCCCTGAGATCAAGAGTTGCATGTTCCACTGACTGAACCAGCCAGGCCCCCCTGATGCTTTTTCACTCTTTGACTTCCCATTCTAGGTACTTAAGACTTACGTCTTTCTTTGCTTCTCTTCACGGCACAGATGCACCTTTTGCATCTCCATAACCTCCCAATAAAATTTAATTTTGTTTAGATCAGTCTTTACCATTTATATCTTTAGACTGTA